TATAGTTTAAATTATAATGATTTGAACGCACCCGAGACATCGTGACTATGGAGTGGCGATCCAAAGCAGAGTGATGGAACCATGGTTTCTTCATTTTGCAATAGATTTTACGGAAGTATTGAACTCCCTTTATGTTTGCCCAGAAGTCTAAATATGCATCAAAACCAGTATCCATTTTAGAGCGTGAGAGTAAAAAGGTCAGAAAGGGGAATCGTAAAGCTAGTGGTTCTGCCTATTCTTATAGCTCTCTTAGCTAACTCATCAGCTCGCTCATTACCCAGGATGCCCTTGTGAGAGGGCACCCAAATAAATTGTACGCAAATTCCATCGTCCTGCGCCGCCTCCAGTGAAGCTTTAATCAAAGGAATAATATAGTTATTTTTATATGAGCTCGTGTTCTGAATTGCCTGCAGGGTGCTCTTTGAATCCGTGACTATGACCGCATCCTTTATGTCAAAGGTTTTTAAGGAAATTATTACATTATATATAGCCCATGCCTCTGCTGAAAAAACAGAGGTGTATTGTGGGAGTTTATCCATTAATTCAAGGTTCAATTGAGGGGAGTAGCATGCCGCCCCCACCGCCGAAATTTCTTCGATCTTGGAACCGTTGGTGTAAAAAACGATAGACTGACTAATTTCGTCTTTAAAGGCTTGTTCAAACACAATTTGAGCATGTCTCTCAGGAAAACTTTCAAGTAAAGTATTAAAATCCTCTTGTGGATAAATAATTTCAGGTGAAATATACATTGAAGTGTATGAGTAACTATATATGGAAAGAATAACCGTCTTATGAAGGGATTGTTTGTGTCGAAAATTTTTGCGAAAGATTTGAATGAGATGGAAATTGTTAGTTAGGTACAGTCTTTTGGCAGGATTTTGTCAGCCAATATAAGGAGATTCTCCATGCACTCCACAACCGGGTGGTCTGCAATGGATAAAACTTTAAACATATTATATTTGCTCGCTAAATATTGGAATCTTAACTTCAGAGGAGGCTCTTTAGCCTCCGCAAACAATATATTAAGCGGGGTGGACACTCGTAAACCCAGACAGGTGCGAACAACCGAATTTTGCGTGATTTCGAGGCGCTGACGGCCCCGAGAATTCTCAAGTGCGAAAATA